GTATGTGCACAGAAATTAACTGAGAATATAATGTCTGATTTCGGATATTTCCCCAACTTTAGTGGCAACTAGTTTTCAAAATTGTGTTATGTGGAACTTCCAATTAACATCGTGGCGTGGTTCATGGTTATACCAGGACATTTTGTTGATTGAACGTCCTCTATTGGTGACTCGTACACGTGAAAACTGCCATCAGTTTTGGTCACACGTTTGAGTGTTTCGACGATACGTGTGTTTTTCAGCAATTCACCATTCTCAAACTCATTGCCGATACAGAATTGTATTAGGAAATAAGTATTGCTTATGAATAAAAACGTCGTGGTCTACGGTTTCAAATCGAAAACCCTTGTTAAGCAATGTCCGAGACCAGGTCTGCTAAGGCAAACTGGTAGATTTAATCGTGGAGATAAAAGAGATTTAATGAATGGATTAGAACGAGTAATAATGACAATTGCCACAACTACAGTTTTTTAATTAAAAATGTTATTTTTGTTTCTACTCGTTATGACAGAGCATAATTTGCACATCCAATACCTTGAGTATAATGCATTGCGAGAATGGATTACTTAAAGTTTCAAGTTGTAATTCCTAAAAATCGCGAAGTGAAAGATTGAAAAGGACAATACTGTTGAATACTATTATTCCATATAAAAACTTTTATTTGATATGTCATATGTTTTTTTAGGATAAAATTATAATTCCTGGATATCAAACTACTAAAACGAAAACGTCCTTTCATGGTATATATATACATTAAGAGTTGTTTGCTATCCACAACTTGATAATATTTTCTGTATTTTGTTCATCTGAAAATACCAAAATAAAAGTAATGGGAAGTGGTTGTCGTATAACTGTACTTATACCTCGCCCAGTGCCACACAATATTTTTTTATAACAAAATTTCTCACCGGGATGAAAACCTTAAACGAACATCTTCACTATTTGGGCATTTGAACTATAAAGCGTGTTTAGCAATATTTTGTTTGGACATTCGTCCACCATAATTACTGTTTTCTTGGATTTTGAATATTTTTGTAACTTTTGGAATATTTGAACGTGATCGTGATCGTCGTACGTTTCGAATCACATTCGTATCTCAGAGAACGTTGCATTATAGATCTTAAAACATATTAAGGTATATGGTTGCATTAAAGAAAAGACCGCAGTTGCCTGTATATGTATTACAGTGTCTTTAGTTGGACCACATACACAAGTAACGAGTACGTTCCACATCTTCCGCTAATGAAATGCACGCGATATATAGGACCTCTGGATCAATCCAGATTTAACAATAGGTGTTGCTCGACTCTGTTCATTAGTAGTCTGAGACCACGATCACGGCGGTTAAAGGTGGAAGACTTTCCATATTGACACTTTGTGCGATGTGTTCATCTTCTCGCAATTTGCGTGACTACAATTCTCGTAAAATTTCTACTGCATATTACAGACTTGCATACACTCATTCCTATAAATCCTTGCTTGTGGGTATTCCTGATGGAGTTGTTGAACTTGCAGTTTCATCTCCGGTGTCGGTGCCTCCTGTTGCATTATATGTCATCTCACCTTTCCAGAAGAAACTGTAGTATATTGCTAGTATTATTGCAGCTAACGAAACTGAGAGCACATAAGCGAAAACTGTCGCTAACCGCACCCATTTCTTGTTGTTTTTCATGTTCGTCGCCATGTTGTTCACTCTTTTGTCAGCGCCGCCAGCCGTACCCGACGAGTAGTTGACGTTCGGTGTTTTGTTCTGCGAATTATGGATGCTATCGGGTACATTGTTTTCTTTTACCATGCTCAAACGTTATTTTAAAATGCCACTCCAGAGATAAGGTGCTTGTTAGTAGTGCTAGTTACTTATTAACAGGAAATCTCTGAAAATCAGCGGAATACGCCATCCGATAAATGCAAGTATCTATAGATCTCAGCTGCGTTGTTTTTTTTTATTCCCGGAAGTGACATCATCATCTAATCACTTACTAGATTTAGGATGGCAATGATTCATTGTCGATGCTCAGATTTTCGTGATTCTCGGTGTTACGTAACATACCCCCATGTCATGCGTTAATAAATGAATATTCAGTAGGTTTGATTGTTGTACCTGTATTCATGTTTTGGTTTGCTTGGATTCAAAATTAAGACGGACGTCTGGAAGAATATGCTTTTAATTTTTATCTTCTTTTTTATGCTTTTTTGTTACTTTTTATGTGGTTATTTTTCTTTTACTAATATCTGATTTGTAACCCGTTTCATCCCCTCCGGGGGATGTTGTGTGTTAATAAATAAATAAATTAATGAGGTATTTCATCATGATAAATTTAAACATTTCTCTATAAACGATGTTTTTATTAATAAAACAAGTATACGTGTACGGGTATGATGGGAATGAAATTACCCGCACATTTTAAAGAGTTATATTTATTTGAGAGACACTTTTATAACATTTAAACATCATTATGAAATAGTAGAGGCGCAACCACGTACGTATTACTCAATAATCGCAAACATTTGACAGTGTTTGATACAATTATATGTGACATTTTATAATCACTTTTTAGAACTTAATATAAATGTATCCACCTAGGCTAGGGGAAGCTCAATTTCGTTCGGAGGACATATGTTACTATAGCTATAGCATGTACGCGTTTTGTTTTCAAACGATGTAATAAAATCATTTATGATTACCTGCGTGTTTTGGGCGTATATTATACCGTATTATAATCATAAATTTCAAATATATGGTAAACACATATTTTATCGTATTATATCATGATTTATATTATGTATCACGACATTGTAAAGCTTTCTCATGCTAGTGGCTTGCAGTCACTGGCCGGTGACGTATTGCCGTGCCGCCATAGTAATTGTATTCTTGATAGAAATGCAACATAATTTATTTGTGCTGACAACCCGACCGGAGACGGTGTATTGGTGGACACTCCGACAACCTGCGCCATTGCTGTTGCTTTTTAGGAAAAACGCTCAACTATCTATGCGAAGCTGGTTTGTATTCCTTTGGGTTGGTCTCAGTACCTCTATACCGTAATTGGTATGTGTCTGGCCGAATGAGGTCTACACCAGATATGTATATAATTATAAATAAACAACACATTTGCGGTAGGTCACTGTCACGATCACGTCTGAGCGGCGTAATTTATTCTCTATATTACATTTAAATGCAATGAATTACAGTGAATTGTTATTATTTCACTGCCCGTACAATTAAAAGTTACATGTATTGTACCTCGACCGTTCTGAAAGACAGACCTATTCCCACCTGTCTTGTACAAAAATGATTAAATAAACATTTACAGGGAAAGTTTAAGAACTTAAAATATACATCATAATCTATGCTATCTTGCGCTTTACGTAGTGCAAATATTTCAATAGACAAGTCCCTTCCAAAAATGTATGAATAATATTAGTTACATATATTAGATCACTTAAAAAAGAAAGAGCCATATATTGGTACACAAAGTATGGAGAGCATTCATTTGTTATACTGGTGATATTGCATTTTCTTAATATGTCATCTATTTTTATTTACTTTATTTAAAGTCAGTAGTCAGGCGCAGAATTCTTTGTAAGATACACATCCATAAGGCTAGTTTATATATGTATATATAATTTATCAATGTGGGCGTCCCAATTTCAAATTAAATCACAATCAGTCCCGAAAAACGTGTAATTAATCTCATATGCAGTTTTTGGCCATTTCATTCCAAACAATGGTTCGATTGTTCCATTTTCAAATCCAAAACCCAGATGAAATATATAACCCAGAAAGAGAAATAGGGCTTTCACTAACTTCTCATCATTCTGAAACAGGCCGGATCATCTGGACACTGTCAAATAGTATTCCTAATAGTTATTTATTCGGTGTTATTTGCTTACTTTAGTTATTTACCATGATGGCTAATCAAACGAACGGCGCTACCTCGCTCAACATCATATCCAGTTCTTATTCATAAAACTGCTTGAAAGGTGTTAATAAAAGCATTGTATCCTATCCCAAAATTATGCACTAAAAGTGTAAGCTTTAATTGATTCAAACATAAAATCTGATTCAAAACTATCAAAAGTCCACAGCTAGTATACCAAAATACTAGACAGAGAATCCATGTACCTAAGTTGTATACTAATATTTCATAGTCCATTCGCCAACCGTGGTTCGTTCTTTAAAACAGGCTGGCCCATTTGCTATATTTGAAATAATTTGTTTCAACCTCTTTGCTATCCAATTTTAATTGTAAGCCCAATACATATAAGTGGTCATAACGTCCATGATAACCATCACTTTCTATTTTATGTACATCTAACGCTGTCTTTCTTTTCGCACAGACTCAAATTCGGCTATGTTATAATTTGAGGGATTTATTAAATGTTAATAATAATAACTCTATCCTGCTCGTCTGATTTTTTTAAATTTAGTGAAAACCCCAAACAAGTGAAAATAGCGAACTTAATCACCATGGCTAAAATCTCGTGTATGCGGTCACGCAACGAGAATTTTCTCCCATCTAGGCCGTCTGTGGCGCTCTTTATTTTCCGGGACTGGGACGGTGAAGATGATCGGATGAATTGTTATCGGATGCCTTGTCGTATGACACCATGATCGCAATGTAGACGTGATAGCCGTAACTTACCGAGGAATGCGTCATTTGTGTAACTTATATCAGAAATATCGGTACGTATTCAACGTTTAGGCGTTTATGGTATTCCGGGCGCGGCGTGTTGACCTGTATCATTGTATGTATCACATTATAGTAGACTGTATACAAGGGTTTCTCCTAACTAGGGAGGAGGTCGTGGCTTTAGAGATACTATCTCTATAGCATACATGTATATAAAAACATTTCAACGGAGACTGTACAATATAACCAATTAGAAACAAATTCAATATAAAAATTATCGATCAATAGACATTTGTAAATAAAATATTGAAATCAAAACAAAGCCCCAACTCCCCAGATTTCAAATGTGTAGAGTACTAGTCTGTGTTCATAATTTGGACTCCTGCCCTATTTCGAAACTTTCGAAACAATATGACCTAGATCCAGCTGTGCCCCCTATTTTATTTTGTTTTAAACACCTCTCAAATTAAAATCAAACACATATAAGCTACAAGTAACTTCTCAAATCTAGAGATAAATATTACTTCTAATTGTTGTTTTCACCAAAATGAACATATTTTTGGGACAGAAACCTAAGACCAATGAACCATTTAACATACTAATATAACACACTATGTGAGGATTAGTTTACTGCATTTATTTATCAGAATTTTTAAATTCTGATAAATAAAGAATAATATTATTTTTATGTATGCCTGCACATTTTTTATAGGTATACTTAGTCACAAAATGTGGTATATATATTGTGAAAGCTTTTGAAAATGGATACAAAATACTATGAATCATCTAAAAAATATTGATAGAATAGGAGTTTAATCCATTATTTGTGTTTCATCACTTTATATTTAGGGAACTACTAATGACAGGATGATTTATTTTTATATTAACTATTTGAAAAAAACAAACAATTTAGGAATATAATTTAGTAGATCAGACTTGTACATGGTTCATGTACCCTTGTAAACTACTTGCATATGCTTTGCAGGAACTATAAATAGAAACATGTAGGATTTTCATCAGTATAGGAGACATAATTTTCATAAATGCAGCCCCCCCCCCCCCAACCACACATATATTTACATATACACATATACCGGTATCATATACTGTAAAATACTTTATTTTAGCTGGATTTAAATTTTCGCTAAAAAGACATTTTGTTTTTCATGGAATTTTATTTCACTGATTTTTGACGAGTTGAATGTAAAATATAGGAAAACAGATATATTCGCTGGATTTTATTTTCACTGAACCACTCCTTCAGTGAAAATAGCGAAAATAAAGCATTCTACAGTAATACATAATCCAACATCACTTAAAACAAACAAAAGACATGTTTCATTGAAAAATAGTACAAAGTATGCATAGTATGAAAAGTCTTTATTAATGTTATTGATCTACAGTTTTTTTTTTTTATAAATATATCGCAGTTTATTCTATATATATTGTCAGAAGTTGTTACATTTCAAATCATAACAAAGAGTTAAAATTACATATCACAAAGAAATTCTGTTCTCAAAATATGCGTTTTTGACAAACCAAATTTCTTCCTGACTATGGTTCTTAAAGACTCGCTTATATGTGCGATTTTTTTGAGTATATAAATATACATGTAAAATAATAAAATAAAGTAGCTGGATGTGGTGGTGCCATGTTTATGCCAGACTTCCTTCAAAAACAGTTAACAAGAGTGACAATAATACCATGTAGAAAAAAAAAACATTACCTAATTTTAAAATTTCCCCATTTTTCAAAATAGAGGTTTGTTTTATTTTACTTAATTAAAATATAGTGTTCAATTTGTTGTTTTATGTATGTTCATTTTAACCATGTTAAAGGAGGGTAAACAGTTTTTTAACTTACTTGTAAATTGTCCGTTTTGGTAATGATAATTAATGATTCAATAGCTTAGAAAACAGAGTATCATAATATTTGTTTACATGTGAGAGCACCTGGGATTCTTAAATGTGTTCCATATTGATCACACAATGTAGTCCAAAGGCTTTTAACATATTCACAATTGACAAACATGTGTAGGAGTGACAAAATGTACAAATACCAGAGGCTGTAAGAAAAGGTCTCATTGTGATGTAGCATGGAGTTTTTGCATAGGATATTATGTGTTATCTTCCATTGAAATTCTTGAAGTTTTGTTTCCATGGTGACAGCAAATGGTAAAAGAAATGTTTTCTTCCATTCGGTGTCTTCAATGTGAAACAAGTGAGTAAAGAATGGTGTACTCTTAGGTGGAATTAGATGAAAGCTAGACAGAAACCTTCGCATTAGCTTGAATTTTAAATCCTTCAGATACATAAATTTATCGTTAATGGTTATACCCATAGGTAAAATTCACTTATTTATTACAGTATGGTACAAGAAGTCCGACAGCTGTAGTCACTATGTTGAAGACAATATTCAATGCCGCTAAAGAAACACTTGTTCACTTTCCAAATAATTCACATGCTGAGCAAGATCTTTTATACTACATGGCAATAATAATGATTCTCTGTGGAGCCATGTCTGCAGTGGCATTAATATTCATCCCAAGTCCATATGGACGTTATAGTAGCAGTGTATGGGGTCCTGGTCTGAACCCAAAGATGGCTTGGTTTATACAAGAGTTACCATGTTTGTTCACACCAGTTGTAATGACTCTATACGATTCTGTATCCAGTAATGTTAACAATATGTTATTAGGATTATTTATTATTCATTATTTTCACAGGTAAGTACACTTAATGTAATGTTATTTTATATTTTAAAACCTTGTATGCTGAAAGCCTCTATGGTTAGTCATGAATTGTTAATTTCTATTGTCTAAAAAAGCTCCAATAGGCATTGTGTTAATTAACATTATTATACATCTGTCACCGTAACGCCATAAGTTACAGCGTGCCGTAATTTATCAGTATTTACAGGGTATTTTTATCCTACCATATTAGGAAATGCAAATTCCAAATATGGAATGATTACGTGCGTAAGCGTCCTTCAATAATAAAAACAAACATGGCAGCCCCCAGGGTTTGACCAGACTCCACACAAAGAAGGTCGCTGACTCTGTTCTAAACTTTCTGGATTTCGGCATTCCTGTGATG